CTTTTTGACAGATGTTTCTTCATTTAACTTTAATTTAACACTGTTAATTTAATTTAATTTTTTTTTTTTTTAAAAAACTGAAAAATTAAAGAAAAATGAAAGGACACTGCAAAAACCTAACAGCTTCTACATTCCTGCAGTCCTTCATGAACCCGTAAACAAACTGATCATCCTTATCAATCCCATCAACCCAATCACAGTCAATCTCTGAACCTGAAGAAGAACCCACAATCCCAAGATGACCCCAAATCGTATCTGTCTCAGCAGTTTTTGAGACTGTAGTCCTTCCTCCTTCGTCTCTGCCGCCAATCAACCCAAACAAATCCAAAACCAGAATCGTAAAGAGGACGAGGTTACGACGAAGAAGGCGACTCAAAACCGATGGGCTGTGGCCCAGTGCGAGTCCTAAACTGGGTTTCTGATCACGATCTAGTACGTATAGTTGAAGAAAGACAAAGGGAAGAAAAGAAAGCTTTGTTGTTAACGTCGGCGATGATGGGGTGGTGTGGTTGCAGTGAGTGGTTGCCGGTCCTGGGTTTTGGGGTGTTGTGGTTACCGGTGTTGATTTTTATTTCTTTAATTTGTAAGACCATCTCCAACCTTGGGCTAAAAGCCAAATTTTTTAGCCCGGCTTTTAGCCCAGAAACATCTTTTCTGCTCCAACCCTTCTGGCCTAAAATTTTAGCCCGGAATTATTAAAGAATGAATTTAGGCTAATTTTTTTCTTAAATCAATATTTTTTTAAAAAAATAAATATGTAAATTATTGTAAATTAATTTTATGAACATTTTAATCTAAAAAAATTTAAATTCCGATAAATATTGAAAAATCATTAAATTCCGATAAATATTGGGTAAATTTTGTGTTAAATAAATTTATTTAATTATTTTAGCCGTTGGATTTAAATTTGGGCCGTTAGATCTTTTTTTTTACCGTTAGATTTGAGTATATTCAATCTCAACCGTTGGATTCAATGTATTTTAAAATAATATATTTTTTAAAAATAAAGTTTGAATCTGGACCATTGGATCAACCAACGGTCCTTAAATCCTGCCCGTTGGATTTCGAAAAGAGCCGTTGGGGCTCTGAAGCGTGGCCGACAGGGCCTGACTGTGGGACCCCCTCTTGTCGGGCTTCGGTTGCACGTTCTGGGCGTGAGGCGTGTGCGCGAGTCCACGGGCCGAGAGTGGCCCAAAACTTGGCGAGTCCACGCGGCTGGGGGGGAATTTGGCCCAACTTTAGCATTCCCCTTTTAGCCCAATATTTTAGCTTGGGTTGGGGGGTGTTTGGGGGGAATTTTGGGCTAAATATTTGGCATTTAGCCCAGGGTTGGAGTAGGTCTAAAGTTAACACTGTTAAATTTTGTGTTAAATTAATGAACAGATGTCAAAAATTTAGAAAAGAGACACAAGGAGACATCAAAGTAGGGGACAGTTGACCCCAAGCCCGTTGAGAGAGGCTTAGAGAATAATAATGTTAGAGATACCAAATTTTTAAATTAAATTTGTAAACTGAATGATGTGTCACTAATAAAAAACAAGTACGTCACTCGACACTTAATCAATAATCCAATCATCTACAACCACATCATTTGATTTGCAAATTTGATTTAAAAAATATGGTCTCCCTGACATTACATCTAAGAAAAAGAAGAGAGACTTGATGACAAAGAATGAGAGAAAGTGGGTAGGGGTGGGCAAGGTGTAGTTCGCTACAGTTCCGCCCTCAAAACTGAACCAGAACTAGGAAATATCAACGATTTGATTCAGTGCGGTTCCACTTAAATTTATTACTAAAATCATATGGTTCGATCCATACCAATTTCGGTTCGGTCCATGCCGGTTTACGGTGCCGAATACTAAGTCATTTGAATACCAAATCAAAATGGTATTCAAAGTTTACTTTTTTTATTCTCTTGTTTTTTGCATGCTTGCATTCAAATACCACTTATAAAATGGTTAAACAAAGTTACAAACAAAACATATCATTTTCAAATACAAAATCAAAATGCAAATATTGCTGACACTAAGCAAACCAAAAAAAAAAACATAATTCAAATGTCATATAACATTCATAATACAAATGTACATCCACTATGCAGTAAAAATGTTAGTATGAATACAATATTTAAGCCCAAGAGGGACTTATCAAGAGATTAAAAAAAGTCATAGGAAAAGGGAAAGAAAAAAATAGGATGTAACTAAACACCTTAAGATCACTCTATCAAAAAACTAAATAAATAAAATGAAATCAAAACCTAAATGTCAAATTTCGAGATCTAGGAGAGAAAATGACCTCTTTTTTTTTAAATATGTGCATTATCTCAATAGGTGAACCGTGCAAGTGAAAGACCTAATTGAGAAATGATCTCATGTGATTAGGTAAAACCAGTTTGGTTTTCACCACTCATTTAGTAACACCCATATACAACTATTAAATTTAATTAATTAATTATTTTCAAGGTCCGGTTTGGTTCTAAGCAATTCTACCAACATGAAAATCGAAATCGGTATGAACGGTTTTGTCCGGTTCTTGAACCTACGTCGACTTTTTTTTTGTCAACACGGTTTTTTACGGTTTATTTTGTCGCGGTTCCACAATTTTTATGCCCATCCCTAAAAGTGGAAGACAAAAAGAGAATTGACAATAGAGAGGGGGGTGACTGAAGTGAGACAAAAATGAGAGGGAAATCAGGAGATAAAAGAGGGACGTGCATCCCAAGCGGCACATGCAACAAGGCAAATTAAAACAAAACAAATATGTCCACCGAGTGTATAATTATCAAATTGTTCTTGACATTCTGCATCTCATAAACTCTTCGTTGTAGTTTCAAATTCTATTCAGGGTATGCGTACACGTTTGTAATGACAAGTACTACACAAATATGCTGAAGAATGGGCCATAAGTGCCACGACACAATAATCAACAAAAGTCAACCTTCTCACTTTTAAGAATATTTTGGTCATTTTATACCTCTTTGATTCCCTTTTTTTTCCGCAGTTATACGGACAACGGCGTATCTAGAATTCTAACATCGAGTGGTCATAATCAATGTACAATATGTGCTAGTCGAGCAACGAGCTGGGACCTAGGGCATAACGGCTATGCACCTAGACGGGGCCTAGGTGGATTAAGTAGATTTATTATCACATATAAATAAGTACTTACTTACATTTAAAACAACAATACTTGTATTGAGAATTTGGATTTATACATTATTTTAATTAAGTTTATTATTTAACATATACAACAACAAAAACGCCTTATCCCACTAAGTATGGTCGGCTATATCAATCCTAAAATGCCAATGCGCTTGTTTTTGTGTCATTTCTTCCTTTAGATCCAGTAATCCAAGTCTTTTCCTAGAGTCTGTTTTCAAGTCTTCCTAGGTTTCCTCTACCCCTTTAGCCCTGAGCCTCTATCTCGTAATCACGTCTTCTAATCGGAGCATTTGTAGGTCTTCGTTTGATATGTCCAAACCACCTTTAGCCGATTTTCTCTTATCTTATCTTCAATTTCAGCTACTCCTAATTTACCTCGGATATCCTTATTCCTAATCTTGTTCTTTCTCGTATGCCCACACATCCAACGAAGCATTCTCATCTCTGCTACACTCATTTTGTGTACATGTTGATACTTCACCGCCCAACATTTCGTGCCATAAAGCATTGCCGACTTATTGCCGTCCTATAAAATTTTCTCGTGAGCTTTAGTAGCATATGACAGTCGCACAATACATCTGACGCACTTTTCCCCTTCATCCATCCAGCTTGTATTTAATGATTGAGGTCTCTATCCAATTCTCTGTTCTTTTGCAAAATAGATCCAAGATAGCGAAAACGTTCGCTCTTTGGTACTTTTTGATATCCAATTCTCACCCCTAACTCATTTGAACCTCCACTTTCATTGAACTTGCACTCCATATACTCTGTCATTGACCTACTTAGGTGAAGATCTTTAGATTCCAACACTTCTACCATAGGTTAAGCTTCACATTTGCTCCCTCCTGAGTTTCATTTAACAACATTATATCGTATGCGAAAAGCATACACCAAGGAATATCATCTTGGATATGTCTCGTCAACTCATCCATTACTAATGCAAAAAGGTAAGGACTTAAAAATGAGCCTTGATGTAATCCCACAGTTGTGGGCAAGTTTTCGGTTTGTCCTTCATGAGTTTTTACGGCAGTCCTTACTCCATCATATATATCCTTTATAGCTTAGATATATGCTACTCGTACTCATTTCTTCTCTAAAATCCTTCAAAGAATATCTATTGAGACCCTATCATACGCTTTTTCTAAATCTATAAAGATCATGTGCAAATTCGTCGTTCTTCATAAGCGCCCTGACATGAACTCGAATTGATTGCTTGAGACCCATGTCTCGTTCCTTAGCCTATGCTCAATTACTCTCTCCTAGAGCTTCATTGTATGACTCATTAACTTAGTACTCTTATAGTTCCCGCAATTTTGTATGTCTTCCATGTTCTTGTAGATAGGCGCCAAAATATTTTTTCGTCACTCATTTGGCATCTTCTTCATTATTTAATATGTAACAAAGAAAAAAACTTCAGAATTTATGCTTTAGTATTTTAGTAAATTTGATGGTATGTGATGAATACTCAAGTGATTACAAGTTCGAGTACTTTACAAAATATTTTCCAAAAGTCGTAAGAGTTTAAAGTAATTTTTTTGTGAAAATAACGTTGTCAAATATGTGGTATAAAAAGCACGTTGAGTTATACACCATCCTTTTCTTTGTTCCTCATCATCTACTGGATCATTCAACTTGTCTAAAATTATCTGCCATTCTGACTGCGCGACTAGCTACACCACCTTAATTTTCGTAAAGAACTAGGAGGTGTTTTAGGCCAATCCATGCATCAGGAATGGCGAATGCCATGTCTTGTAGATGTTAACATACCTTCAGGCTCCGCAATTCAACTTGGTAAAGAAAAAATTCAACAGTGGATAATTAAATTTGATGCATGGTTCGGAGGCACAAAATTCAGTAGTAAAATTTCTTCAAATTATCACCAAGGTTAGCAAATGACATATTTGATGTAAACATGAACGGTCGGGGTTAGAGTTGCTCTATGTTCCTAAGTTCCTAACATCTGTATTACAGCTATTCGTACCGGAAAGACAAAAATATAACAGGGTAGCATTACGATGACTATTGGCAAATGTCATAGTGCTTTTGCAAACTCTTGAGCATGGTCGCTTCTGTAAATGGTGAACCGGAACCGGATGTAGCTCGCTGCAAGGATCCGAATTTACAGATGTTGTTCTCAGCAATCCATAACACCAGCAGAGCTAGAAAAACCGCACTTCTCAAGGCAATTGCTTTCAGTATCATTCCGTCTTTAAACGTTTCGAATGTGTTTCCTTCATCCACTCAAGGCATTCTTCTGCAGTTCCTGAAGGGTCAGCAAGCTGCCATGCAAGTATTTTTTGTTGCTGCCAAGTAAAGGATACATTAGCAATTGGAGTTCCATAATAACTTTTTTTCGGTGCTGGAATCAGAACTTATAGCTTACCCATTCTCGCACAAGTGGTCCTCCAGATTTAAGCTGCAAAACATTCATGATCTCCTTCCCGTTCAGTAGTGGTTTTGCATCCCAAACTTTATCAAGACCTAATGCACCAGAACAAATATCAGAAATGGCATCCAAGCTGTCGCCCAAAGCTTGAGAAAATCTTAAGGGCAATCTGCCCAGGACTAAACAAACTGGTTGGGCATCGAACTCCAGGACAAGATCTAAACTAGATATCCTACAAAATATCATACACACACACACACACATACTCAAGCACATACGTATACCATGTTTGAGGCCACCTTAGATGCTATTTAAGTTTTTCCAATGCTTGAAGCTTATTTTTACAGTGATATATATATATATATATATATATATCCTATATAAGAGAAGAATAGAGACGATAAAAGTTCATCTTGTTGAATTTACTCTCACAATGATAGCACATGCTGACATGGGAAACATAGAGATAATATTCAACAGTTAATGACACCAATAGTAGTCTAGTCACAAAGCATTGTTTTCACAAAGAGACCCTTAGCAATGGTTGACATCAAAACTAATAAACATATCAAAACTACAGTAGATTGGAAAGTTGGGAGTTTCCAAATTAATATCAAAACTAATAAACATATTCATATCAAAATAGATGCTTGGTTAAAAAGAGACTTGATACCTAGTTTAAGTATGGCATCTTCAGCTGCTATAAATAAGGCTCTTCGTCTTTCCAGTTCAAAGTTCTTACTTAGAAGATCTTCGGTACAATCATTGTTGGGGGGATATAACAATGTAGCCATCAGCAAGGCAACTCTCCAAAAATCTTTAATTTCTCGTAGAAGAAATCCTGGATGGTTGACAATTCAAAATGAAAAAAAAGAACATTTAAGGACAAACGCATCAAGCAGATTACAGTCTTAGGACTTCGGAGGATAGAAAGATGGATGTTAGTCCATAATCAAAGCAAGAAGTTCCACATAAACAAAATACATAGGTGGTCAAGCATGGATTAATAATTTAATATGATTAAAAAATTTCAATTGACATTTATATTCATAAGGTCTGAGACACATAAGTTTATCTCCAGTATAATTTCCCAAAGAATTAATCAAACTATGGAAATTGCAGTGTCAGCAACATATGTGTTCCCTCTATTAGTATTAAGTACACACCAACATTTCAGAGAGTTTTTATCAAAAGCACAAAGGAAACATACACCAGCATTTCTAAGAAAGCACGGCAAGAACACAGAAACCTCATACCTGTCAGTACCCGGGGCTTTGAAGTAAGAGGTACATCAACAGATTCTCTTGCCCAATTAACTTCAGAAACGAGTGCATCATCATTTGATGCAAAATAAGGAATCAAAGACAAAAACTTCTCCAACGCATGGTGTACATTTATAACCTGTAACAATTAAAATTGGCAAACAATTTATATAAAAATGCAGATTCAGGAAGTCTTGATATAACTACCAGGTTAGTGTTTCCACGTAATGTGTAGAAAAAGGGGGGGGAGGGGGGGAAGTGGACCAAACATACTGTTTCTGCATCACTGGCTTTTCGCTTAAGGGAGTCTCGGAAAATGTAGTTCACCACAGGAATCTGAAATTCAAAAACAAAGATTTAGAACTGATTCCCGTTTGAAAATCATGTGATGTCGACCTGCTGCATTATAAAAACTATCTACATGTTTCAAGAATAGGTTATGAAATAATCAACTCCGAGCGTCTTCCAGTCCTAATTAACTAAACAAACCGGTCATGCTAAACTTTCATACAAATTTATCTTGAGACGATTGATTCAAACTTTTTTTTTTCTATTGCAAACACCAATTATAATCAACTCTAATTTTGTGTGACAAACATCTAATCAAATAATCACGTTATTATCTAGTAATACTGTTGTTGTCTCTAGGTGTGGTGTGGTATGGGTAGGGGTCAATTAACCAGAATGAGTGGCCGGAACCACCCACCAAACCACAACTGTCAGTAAGGACTGACGTTTAACTGTCCTAACCTTCCACCAACTGTGGTTAGTTCACCAAGAAACCAGAACAGAAAAATCCTCGAGATCTAGCAAAATACGAGTGGTGCGACGAAATGAGCTATGCCAGAATTTGGTGGAGAGAGAGAGAGAGAGCTTATATATATAAGTCAACAGAAATGTAGCAAATGGATAAGTCAAATTTAACGGGAACCAATTATGTTCAACAGTTCGGTCAGTTTTTTCACCAAAATTCAAAAATAAAAAATCACACCAAATGACCGTCCGGTTTGATAAGTTTTTGGGTCTAAAATTATCAGCCCTAGTTGCTTCTATTGAAATATCTCCAATAACATTCCTGGTTTGCACATTTTGCTACAAACTAGCATGCTGTCTTGCACAAGGTTGCGCAAATGCAATGCAAAAGGCTCAATGCTAGTATGCTTACAGCCTACACAAAACAAGGATAATTACATCAGGAAACAGCAAACACATGATAGCAAAACAAAGGAACCATACCTTTTTTCCTTTGTTATCTTTATATATGGTTTTCCTAAGTGGGAGGAACATAGCAGCATACAGAGAGAGCCTTCTTTGTTCATCCTAAATTCACACGTTAGAGGTAACGCTATTCAAACCAATACACATGGAAATGTAATACACACAAGCAGAATTTGAATTAAAACAATGATCAGTGCATAAAAAATGAAGGTATACAGGAGAAAGCAATAAGATTATCGTATTTCAGGTCCTTATACTTACAGTAAAGGTAGACTGGCCAATTAATTGAATAAGGTTCCATGTAGCCTCCAAGTAAGAAACACAAAGCCTGCATTCGGTGAGAAAAATAATGAATTACCATTGAAATATTTATGTGTCATTCGACCTACCCGCCCATGCATGATGTTATAAAGAAGGACATGCTTGGAAACTCCCTTTTTCCTTAAGCAACCCCATACCTGTCACATCCTTCTGATACTGCAGGCTCATGCTTCGTATGAAGACTGAAGACAACCCAAAATAACTTCAAATCACTAATGTAGGCCACAGCTTGGACAGGTTGATTTCCAGAGATCATAAGGTCAATCTGAACCAAGGAGAAACAAGAAAAAAATAAAGAGATAATTCCACTGTACCTGGGGACCCAGGATATGTTTTTCCATTAAACGAGCTAGAACAGTGTCATCATAAATCAAATAATAATCAGACAATCACCACTTGAGGTATGTAAAACAGGAATTTACTTCAGTGCCGATACGCTCTCTGCTAATTTTAGCCGAAAGAGCAGCTTTCACTTCATCGCAGGCAGCTGCTTCCTTTAGTTCTTCATCTAATATGAATCCAAACCTTGCACCTGAGCACACGACCAGATATTTCAATTTTGGAGATGTTTCCAACTGATCAGTTCTGTGAAAGGACCCTTGGTTTACTCCGAAAAGTTCATGCAGAACGTTGATGCTAGCAAACAAGGTCATTTAAGAAACCATGCCAACATGAACTTCAAGAAGGCAGAATAAAGCAAATACATACTTATGAATACTAGCATGCAGCAGTTAACAGAAACCTTGGACGAGAGACTAGTAAAATTTAAGATGTTTTTCTTTTCAGCAAGAAACAAATACTTTTTAAGAAAAATAAGAAATAATATTTTCACTAAAACATTCTAATGTTACAAATAGAGTAGACAAAATGCAATAACAACACCCTCTGAATGTAGGGGAGCTTTTTGAATTCGGTTTTTATACCATACTGTTTATATAGTTGGTTGAACCTTGACATACTTCAAATTGTTGACCATAAGATGTTGAACACTCAATTACAGGCCAATAATGAGATAGATACCTAGAAAAAAAAAAATTGAAACAGAAAAATCCAGAAGAGAAAGTCAAACCAATTGGGCACGAAGCATATATGGCTCTGTTATGACTAGTGAACCGTGAATGACCAAGTACCAAAGACTAGACACGGTTAGTGCAACAGACCAATGAACTATGACAAATTAGAATAATCAGCCATGGAGAGCTGAGTGTGCATAAAATTTAGAAAAGATAAAGAAACAAGTACCAAAACGGATAGCTCGAAGAACTCGTAGCGGATCATCCATAAATGTGGCCTTTGGTGGTAAGGGAGTCACTATTATACCAGATTTCAGATCTTCAATTCCTGCAAAATACAAATGAAAGACAAATGAAACATCAAAACAAAAAGTAATAACTATGATTCTGGTAAATAGGACAAATTCGTAGAGAACACGCCAGATGCAGAAAACAGACCTCTTTTGGTATAATCTTCAATTGAGCTGGTATTTATATTGTAGAACAAGCTGTCCAACGAAAATAAATCCCATTAAGAACACAAGTTCTAACGAAGCAATATAGTTCTCATTTACCGACCATGACATTATTTTAGTTCTAGAAGATTCTTAGGGAAGAAATTCACCTGTTAATAGTTAAATCCCTCCTATACGCATCCTCTTCGGGTGTGCCATATTTTTGCTGTAAAAACAAAAGTAAACTTTAAATTACAAATTTAATAAGAATAGACTTCAAATTTGATTCAACATGCTTCACTAACTGTTTCTTCAACTAATAAGGGAAAAACTGCCTCAAACTTAGCGTAAATTGAAAACTAACAAGACAATAAAGTTACTCTTGATGGTAGATGTCTAACATTTTTGTCTAAAAGAATCACTCTCGCACTAAGAACATTTGGAGCTGAATTAATCATCAATTATAATGTCCTCAAATGAAAGGGTATGAAGAGACTAGCAAACGCTTATCGAGCAAAAGTATTTACCACGGTAGGAATGCGGCTATTCTCACAATACTCTTCACATCTTAAGTTGACAAAATCAATCCATGTATCACATATGCGCATCCTCGCGGTTTCCAAATGTTTGGATTGATCAGGATTGCTATATAAAAAAATTAAGCATTAAAACACACACACACTAAAATGGAGTCTACTTAGATAAGAAATTGCAGAGCCAGAGCCGCATACCATGGAATTACAGCGATTCCCTGAGCCTCTTCCCCGACGTGCAGTAAGTAGTCTTGAACCTTGTCTACAAATTCGCTGCCCAACATGTTGTCCAATGCAATATCAATGTCATAGCACTCCTTTCCCAGAAGCTGCAAAAACCCCCATTCCAAACATGATTTTCAAACCTAAACTCTATGAATACATATGTATATTTGCCGGGATTCCATGAATAGGCACGCACGCACGCACCTTATCGCGGACCCATCCGCCAGCAACGCGAAGCTGATTCTGTAGGCCGAAATGGCGAAGCGTCCCGAGCAGCCGGTCAAAGATTTTCTTCTCGGTTTCATTGAGTTGGATGTTGTCCCTGACTTGTACGGGCGGGCGAGACGGCACCGCCATGATTGCTCTGCAAGGGTAAAACCCTAGCGCTTGCCCTAGGGTTTTGGCGGGAAGATTGCGGGTCTGGAACGTCCGACGGAGCGTGGGAAGAAAGAGAGGGTTGCAGCAGCTTACTGAAGCGGTTTTGAAAGCTAGTCTCATGCTTTGAAGGACTTTGGAGCTAATTTAAAGGGTCAGGAGGCGGGTGGGTTAATTTCTTAGTTTTTCGTTTCAACTCCACTGCGCAAACCCGGAGAGGCAGAGGACTTTGAAATCTGCTGTGGACAATTATCTGCTCCGACCCTGTTACCAACGTCTAATTAGTTGACATCTGTCCTACACTTTTTCATTATCAAACTCATATCAAACCATTCAAAATGGGTTGGATCGGTTTGTTTGATGCCCATTCTATTTTGTTTTTTAATAGGAATAACTGGTGGTAAGTTATCATTATCTTTTTTTTTAGTGCATAAAGACATTTCAGTTTTCTTCTTGTCACAAGTCTAATAGCGAGTTTGTTTGATGCCCATCCTATTTGGGTATAGACCTTTTTTTTTTAATTTATACTAACATTTGCCTACACATTTTATGTGTATGAACACATTTTTTTAGAAATCGAGAAGGAGAGAGGGAGAGAGGGAGAGACAGAAAACATGATGATGTGAGGTTTTTGTTTTTGGTTTTTTTTTTTTTTAATATTGGAGATATTTGAACATCACTTATGGATGAGATTTCAATAAAAAATAGTAAAATTTAAACATGTGAAATTACATTATTGTCCAATATTTTTTTTTTGTGATAGAAAATTAATTTATCTTTTTATCCTCTTTTGGTTGACAAAGAAGATTTTATTAATAAGTAGAGATATAAGAAAAAGGCATGTAATAAAAAATAGAAAGAAAAAAAACATAATTCCATTGAATTCCCTCCTCACACAGCACCGTCACCGTCACCGTCACCATTCTCCCTGTCTCCGTCTCTTTCTCTCCCGTCTTTGGGAGCTCCGCCCTTCTCTCACAAAAATGAGAAATTTTTAGTTGTGACGGGAATACAGATAGTACACCACTTATTTTTATGTAAGTGGTGAAAATTTTAATTTTTAAGTTATTAACCTTTTAATACACATAACTCATCATTTATATAGAAACACATGATGTACCACTTTGTGTGAAAAATCTCTTCACAAAAACCAAAACCTCTCCATTCTCTCTCTCCCTCTCCCTCTCAAATTCCAATTCTCACTCATTTCTCTCTCTCTCTCTCTAACAAGTTAGCAATAATGGAGAGCTTCGCCCTCCACTCTCTCTCCACCTCCTTCTCTCTATCTTCCCGCCCTTCCTTATTCCGTTTCTCAAAACCCGTCATCAAATCCCCACCGTCCATCCACCACAACCTTAAACCATCTCCCTCACTCCCCACGCTCCGATCACCATCCCTCTTGGCCTCAAAACCCTTCATTTCCCCGTCTCATTCCTCAAAACCCAGAAAACCCCACTTCCCAATCGAAGCCTCTAAATCCACAGAACCCGGAACCACTCTCACACCACCGGCGCCGCTTCAAGGTGCCAAACCCATCCCCTTCATCATCTCCATCGCCGTAGGCATTGCGGTCCGCTTTTTCGTACCCAAACCAGTCGAAGTCACCCCACAAGCCTGGCAATTGCTCGCCATTTTTCTATCCACCATTGCCGGCCTGGTTCTGAGCCCGTTACCCGTTGGTGCTTGGGCCTTTCTCGGCCTCACCGCCTCCATTGTGACCGGAACTCTGTCTTTCCCGACGGCCTTCGGTGCTTTTACCAATGAGGTGATCTGGTTGATTGTCATTTCCTTCTTTTTCGCTCGCGGGTTCGTGAAGACGGGCTTGGGGGATCGGATTGCCACCTACTTTGTCAAGTGGTTGGGGAAGAGCACACTGGGTTTGTCCTACGGGTTGACAATAAGCGAGGCACTAATTGCTCCAGCAATGCCGAGTACCACGGCCAGGGCTGGCGGTGTTTTCTTGCCAATTATCCAGTCATTGTCCCTCTCCGGCGGGAGTAAACCCGGTGACCCCTCCAAACGAAAGCTCGGTTCTTATCTGGTTATGTCTCAGTTTCAGGTTGGTGCTCTTTCAGTCCCTCCCTTGTATTTGTAGATATATGAATTCTATATTCTTAGCCAGTGGATTTTCTTCAGTATTTCATATTTAGGGTACGGACTCGATAACATCTTTCGTTGATTGCCTCTTTAGATACCTGTAATATTGTGAATGATATGACTTTGATAAACTCAGTTTGGAGGAGTTTTCTTTTGCACTTTTACTTAATCTGCTCACTGAATATCCTTATTTCAGTTGTTCTATTAATTTAAACCAAAAACTGTACTAAAAACGCGGAAATCTAAATGCTCTCGACCATGCAAGAAGAAGAAAACTAGAGCTCTACAAGTGGGAGGAGGGGGTGGCGGGTTATTGTCTTAACTCTTCTTTGTACTTTACCTTTAGTTTCTGCTGAATTAGATGGGAAGAGAACCTTTTCTTTTTCGTACAAACAAACAACTGCCCTTCACTCTATGTTGTTGAATTAACCAAGGGGAGAACTTTCTTTCGTTGTTCTGCCTTTCGCCTCAACAACCACTGCCTCTTTTACTCTAGTTGTTGTTGAATTGTACACAAGAGGATTTCTTTTTTCCCTCTTCGTTGATGTACTATGCTTTATAAGTTTAATTTTTTTGCCTCGTCCTGTGTGTTTGTTTGAAGACAAAATGCTTATGTTCTCCCGTAGTCAGTCAAAGTACAAAGAAGAGCATATAACTCTTTGTAGTTCTGTCGTGTCCCACATCAGTGGATTCTATTAAATTTTAAGTAGAGATCCTTGAACTAATCAAACTTATTATCCGTACAATTGTTTGTTGAAAGAAAGGGTAGGAACTCTCATGTGTCAATTAAGAAATCCAGTGTACGTTTTATGTTTTTTCTAGTGAATTAATCCAGCATTAACTATTACTGTGTTATATATTCTTTCTTTGCTGACTCTAGTAGCATATGTTATTTGTGTCTTCTTGTGACTTATGCATCTGTGTTGTCGGTGACAGTCGTCTGGTAACTCTAGTGCTCTTTTCTTAACGGCTGCAGCTCAAAATTTGCTGTGCCTTAAACTGGCTGAGGAAGTTGGGGTGATTATTCCAAGCCCTTGGGTTTCTTGGTTCATGGCTGCTAGTTTACCAGCATTTGTCTGCCTTCTAGCTTCTCCGCTAGTCTTATACAAGCTGTTTCCTCCAGAAACCAAAGACACACCTGATGCCCCTGCCATGGCTACAAAGAAATTGGAGAATATGGGTCCCGTCACAAAGAATGAATTCATTATGGTTGGTACAATGCTTCTTGCTGTCTCTTTGTGGGTCTTCGGGTAAGTAGTTTATCTTGCTTTGGACTATTCGTGTCCAGTAGATCATAATTGCATATCCTTCTTTTTTTGTAATCGGATATATTTTTCACCAAGAATAGGACTTTGCTTGGGATAATGGGATGTTTCCATGGACTATAGTTTTACAATATATTCTTACAGTGATGGTTGACGGTAGCAAACCCGTCATGTGTGTGTGTGTGTGTGTAAGTTATCTTCATGATTTCCCTGGGAATGCATTTTGTTCTACTAGGGTTCTAAATCTTCTGATTCACCAATTCGTTTCTTTGTTCGCTTGCAGAGACACTTTTGGTATATCAAGTGTTGTAACTGCGATGATTGGCTTATCTATACTCCTTTTGTTAGGAGTCCTTGATTGGGATGACTGTTTAAGTGAAAAATCAGCATGGGATACATTGGCTTGGTTCTCTGTTCTTGTTGGTATGGCTGGCCAGTTGACAAATCTTGGTATTGTAAATTGGATGTCTAGTTGTGTAGCCACTACGCTTCAGTCTTACTCTTTGAGCTGGCCAGTTGCATTTGGTGTTCTTCAGGCAGCTTACTTCTTCATCCATTACCTCTTTGCAAGTCAAACCGGTCATGTGGGTGCTTTATACTCTGCATTTCTTGCCATGAACTTGGCAGCTGGGGTACCTGGTGTGTTAGCAGCGTTGGCTTTAGCTTACAATACAAGTCTGTTTGGGGCTTTAACGCATTATAGCAGTGGTCAGGCTGCTGTATACTATGGAGGTATGCTCCCTTCCAATACCCACTTCATAAGTTTGGATTTTTTTTCCCTAACAATAACATTTTTGGATTTTTTTTTTCCTTAAACAATTACATTTCTGTAGTGTTAGTTTTCCTTTTCAATAACAGTTGCTTCATTTTATTATTTTATGGTCTTTAAAATTAGGGGAAATTTTCGAGATGTCACTTGAAGTTTGTACAAAGTTCATTGTCACCTCAGAAAAAGAAATTTAAGAAATATGTCACGTTAATTTTTCAAAACCCATGACAACCTCACTCTGTCAAGTTCTCCATTCAAAACATGGCACTTGCGTCACTCTGACCCACTTTCAGGGATATTTTTTTACTTTTTGAGGCAAGTTTTTAGGATTTTTCATTATTGTAAAGACTGGGTTTCTTTTTCTGGACGGAAAGTTTGAAGGTGTTAGCATGAGGTTTCAAAATGAATTTGGTGTGTTGTAAGTTGGTGACATTGAAATTTCGCTTACAATTTGATAGCCTCAAATATTTTTATTTACCTCTCTCTCTCTCTCTCTCTCTCTTTATTTCTTTCACTAAAGTGCTCAGAAGTCAAGAACATGAAAGAAAGTGGATTGTCTTTATCAGTATCTGTTTTGTGTGGTGACTGATAAGATGTTTGTTGTTTCCAACAGCTGGTTACGTTGATCTTCCTGATGTATTCAAAGTTGGCTTTGTAATGGCTCTTGTTAATGCTGTCATCTGGGCAATAGTAGGATCCTTCTGGTGGAAATTTTTGGGCCTCTACTGATGTTCATCAGTTTCCTGTAAGTAGATTATTTGGTATTCCCTGTTGTATTATTATTTTCAGGGCAGAATGGAACTATCGTTTTGGCAGAAGCCGATAATAAAATGCAAAACCATAGGTTTACTTAGCCACAGTTCAGGTAATTCCGTAGCCGTAGGACCTCTCTTCTGTTCTTTAACATGAAGCAAAGTATTCTCTCTTTTGAATTACTCTTATTTGTCCACCCCAAGCATGCCTCACTACACTTGTGTTATACGTTAGTCTTGTTTCGGATTTAACCATGTCGGAAAAGAAACTTTTCTTCGTTTGAGAATCATATCCTGCTAGTCT